AATTATTAATGACAAAGTCGTACCGATCAGAGTTGAAAAAGAACTAGAGTAAGAGTTTAATAACGGTGACGATAAATGTATCCTCGTATCGAGATGAATAAATTATTTCAAGTATCTTGGCAGAAAGAAGATTTAGTAGAAATGATAGATTAAATTTATTATGCTTTAGAGATGAATGTCTAAGAGGCTTTTCCTACGGGTCACAAGTGACCCGAACACCGCCGGCCGCATCGCTTCTAAAATACCCGTCGTGCAGCAGATAACGCGACGTGCCATCCATTAAAACCCAATCGTCTCGACTCTCTTTCCCCGCAAACGACATTCTCGGCGCTCGTGGATCGATCCCGTAGATAAAGGGCAGAACAGAGTCCTCCGGAGATCGTAAAACGAAAGCAATCGGGAATGGTTCGTTTACGTGCCAAGATGACCGGTCGCATAGATGGAGCTACAATTTTGAACGGCATTAAACTCGATCAACGTATTACCAAAAATCTTACCTAGGAAAATACTTCGGTAATTCTCTCAATTATAAAAAAGTATAATCGTTATGTTTCGCATCATACGAAAACCGAACAAAAGTAAGTAATTCTATCTAACGTAGAATTCCCTTTTAAACTTCTATTACAGATCAAAATCGCTATCCCACGTGTGGAGTGAACTCCTCCGAGCGGGACCGACATCAAGGAACGTTTTCCCAAAGAAACAGCGCGGCGTAGAATTTATTTCCGCTTTTGATCCGGCCGTTCTTTCAAAGTGGCCTCTATTTTAAGCTCGGCCTGGGTCGAGTGCGCGAAATAAACATTTCTCGATAGGGACTAATCCCAGACGGGGTTCGTTTGAGGAAGGCTTGCGTCTACGCGGACGCAAACGCGAGGATCGTAATTCTCTGGGATGACCAATTTATCAGGCGAGCGTGTCGCCGGTGAAATAATTACACCGGCGCGTATCTTCGGTTACCGCAACGTCCGCGTGAAAAACGAAGGAGGGATCGACGCGGCTTGTTCTTGTTACGCGGACCGCTGCGGAATAGGCTGTTAATCATAGGATCGAGCCACGGGCCCCTCGACACACAGGTGTCCGCGCATTGGGCCCGCGCTGCACGAATTCCACCGCGAACGACCTTTCCGCTTTATTGCCGGCTCTCGCAATACGCGATACACCTTCGCAAAGAAGGATGAAAAAGCCAGCGAACATAATTCGTGAAACGCAATAGGAGAGACTTTATGAGCAAATAAAACTGCTGTTTTCTTATAGATACTTTTTGTCGAAAGTCTCCGGGCCAATGTTCAATTCCTAAAGTTCACACGATTCCGAAACGAATATGCGCCGCATTGAATACAATTGAATTTCAGGAAGTTTTCAGGAAGATCTTGAAAATGAATCATTACCGGATATCGTAGAAGACGTAAAATATGTTTTCACAAGGCAAACGTTATCTTAACATTAAAGAGATTAAATTGACCTTTTGTAATTTCTCTATAGAAACTCCAAGAGAGCATCTATCGAAGCTTTAGCTTAGCTTCTTCGTCAGCTTCTTAATAATTGCAAAAGGAAGAAATCGGGAATGAATCATTTTGACACGTCCGATGGTTTCAGTGTTAAATGAATAGAGATGGTTAACGAAATTCAGTGGGATTAACGAACAAGCGATAGAATGATATTTCCAAATTTGTATTTTAAAGCCACGCCCATCGAGTTCTGCAAATTATATCTCCGAACTTCTTGATCACACTTTGTATAATCATCCAGTGCCAGGGATTCTGGGTAAATGTAAATATAAGGCGGCACCGTCACACCGAGCGTGAATAATAGAGGAGCGTTACGAAAGTTTCTACTTCGGAATTATTGATGGACACTCCCGGACCGTGAACGGTCTATCCTAGACCTCTTTTATCTTCCTAGCTCCACGCTTGATGAGAGAAGCTCTCGAGAAGTTACGCTGACTTTTTAATGAGCATCTGGTGGACCTCCGGTGGCACTCGCGTGGACTCGTCGCGTTATTTACGACAGTTTTTCTTCCATTAACCCTTTATGGACTCAAACGCCATTCCTCTTAGTCCTCGGTGATATGTTTATCGCAGATGATTTTTATATTCTTCTCGGATGACTAATCGTGTGAACAATTTTTTACGTGCATAAAACGATGAGTGCGCAGAGGGAAAACAAAGTTCAGACATTGATATTTCATAGATTCTTCTGTCTTTGAATGATAAATTCCACGTACGGTGCAACGTTAATACATTGCGAAACGATAATTGATGGAGGAAATGTATGAAACACTGCAATTACAGAAACAGTACTGAAAAAGCCCCGAGAAATCTTGGGAATCCCTCGTGAATCGTTCCAAGATTCGTGGAAGATAACATAAAATTGAGGAACGTTTCGAAGGATACTTTTAATCTCTCAATCGTTGGATATGCAATCGAAGATGGATTACCCGATGCGCGTATCGAGTTTTCGTTTAGCATCATTGACTCGGGACGATCAGATTTCCACGTAATAACGCTTCGGATCTGTTGCTCGAACGCCGTGCCACGAGCAACGCTTTTATTATACCGCGGGACTATTTCGAATGCACGGAACCTAAGCTTTTTTAGAACCCAGTCGGAGGATCGTAAAGCTGAAACCCTGAGCCTGCTTAGCCGTGCACACGAAGCTCTGGCCTGCATCGGGCGTTAAAATAGTTACGAGGGAATAGCGCAATTTCGACGGGTGGCGGTGAACTGCGCTCGCGTGGACGTGTCGATGGAGATGATCGGGGATGACAGTGGTTTACGCTTTGGCAGTAACCTCGGCGAAAGGTACTCGACCGTAAAAACGATACTGGAGCCTCCGAAAATACTCTCGGAAACGATCGGACCATTAGAACCGATTCTTGAACGCTGCTAATCTGCGTTAACGACGAGAATATATGCAGTTGTTTAAAGTTCAATATATTTTTGTACAAGTTTCTTTATTCTCGAAGCGGACATCAACATAACAGTGTTCAAGGAATGTGAATCTGAAACAATTTTATCAAATTTCCTAGGAGGCGTAATAAATTTCGTGGAAGAAGATCGAAAAATGAGGGACAGGGAATTTCTAATTCCGCCAGGTAATCGTGCTACGTTATTTACGATCGTATAATAACTCAATAATTCTTCGATTCACCGGAGGTATGGAAATTTTCTCGATCCTCGGACCCTTGAGATCAGGTCATCAGGATTCTCGGGAAACAATTGAGTTCAGAACAATAGGATAAATCACAATGGGAAGATCGTTGACTTCGGTGAAGAATACACCAACACGCAATTATGTTTGTCGTTACCATGGATTTTTACCAACCCGCATGACTCGACAGTCTCCGGAGAGTTTGTTAGAAGTCGCGAATGAATATTACGTTGGCAATTATCTCCAATTTTACACCGCAATCATAGGAAACGGTGAACATTACATAATTAACCTTTTGCTTTATGTCCCTCGTTCGGGTTTGCGAGAGTTCTATTGTTAATGGCTTTCCAGTAAAAAGAGATATTATATATCCATCCTAAGCACATAATCACCGTGAAATTCTGCTATTCGTGAACATGATATAATATTTTCAACTAACATAAAACTTGTAACGTTCATACATACCAAATGCAATTCAGAGTTTTCACCTTGATTCAATAACACGCCAAAATTACTCAAACGAAATAATCTTGCTGCAACGATAATAAATTCACTACCTTCCGAGAAACCAAATAAACCATCGGATACTCCAAAATGTTTAAGAATTCTCCGGAAAAAAGAACCACCCCAATTTCAGTTCTGACAAACAAGCCGTGCAATAATTTCGGAATAAAAGGATTCAGCGGGGGGGATCAGGTAACGGAATAAATTGTTCGAATGCGAACGAAGCGCGCCTGGACAAAAGTACCGCCGCAAAAATATTCCGAAACGGTCCGAATTCCCCACCCGTTGGCCGCGACGGCACGTCGGCGCGAAATAAAACGCGCGCCCAGCAGAATATTCGAAAGTCGGTCGTCTCGGGCGGGCCGAGGCGGGCCCGCTTGCATATATCCCAGGCGACACATGCATTTACCGTTTTTCTCTTCTTTTTATCGGCGATTCCTCGAAGTGGCTAACCGATCCGATCGGTCGAACGCGAAAAAAAGAGACGCCGTTTCCGGGCCAGAACCGCGACATTCGACGAGAGTATATCGAGATAGCAGCGAAATCCGCTGCGGTATACGTAACGCTGAACAGGCAACGGGAACGAGGAACAGACGAGTCGATGACAGCTGGATCGTTTAAACACTGACCTGGTCGATACCGAAGGAATGCTTTTGTTTGGAGCCGGAGTCCCGGGGAAATAAAACACGACACAGATATCAATGTTTAACGGTCTCTTTCTATAGAACAAACTTCGCCGGGCATAGAAACGTGTGTCGGTTTCATTGGAAAAGCCCTACCGTCTAACAATTCGTTAAAAAGGAACACAGTTCGCCGCGGAACGTCATGAATAATCGGCGAAGTAAAAATGTCAGCGCGTTTGTCGTCGGATCACGCAGATTAAAAGACGAGCTCCAATAATTCATGTAAAGCCTCCTAACCCCTTATCTCGCGCTCGACTTTACGACCGTGTTTACAAGAATTACTTCGTCATCAATCATTCTCTGAACTAATCGTACCATAAAAATTCAATATTCCCGAGCTCCGAATCGTTGCCTTTCAATTAAACCACGGAGTATTCACGTCGTTCGTTGATACTAGATTTACTTAATACGTATCGTAAATTTATTGCATTATTCCTACGAAAATCGACGATCGCCCACTAAGATCTTCAAAAGCTTTAAACGTAGACAACTGGACATGTGAACACTCACCGATTAACGCTTATAAAATTCGATACGCATCAAATCGAGCGTGAACCCAATGTTAAATTCGGTTCGAGGTGTCAGCCACGTGTTTTCGCGAGACAAAGGATTAGTCTCCGTGCAGGCTGATGATTCCGCGCACAGCAAGATGTGTTCACTCACCGTTGCGTGTCTAGAGGATGCTGAGGACGCGGCTGGTGTCTTCCGGAAGAGAAGTCGCTTCTTCCCTGGCCGCCCACGAAAAGCGGCAGAAGCGAGGCCGCGTGTACCCTCCGCGGATGCGAGCGTAGCCGGGAGCCGGTTCCGAGACTGTTGGTCCGCGGGGACCGAGGGCGCGTGACGAGAGGAAGAGAGGATGGTGAGAGGTGCACGTGGCGGGAAGGCTTCGTAGCGCGGCCGCAAAAACGGCTGGCTGCGACACGACCTCGCCGACGGTCGCAACGAGACTGAACTTCCAGCCCGCAACTCCAGCCTGGAAACAGCTGCTCTCGCCAGCCAGCGCCAGAAAACTACGGTCGCCTGGGCCGGCGGACGCGGAGCAGCACGCCGCGCCAAGTGCATCTTTTCTGCGTCCCGATCCGTGGCGAGCGGTGGTAGGGGGCACGGCCGCAGAAAAATCACGTTTCACCCTATTGGGACCGGTGGCCGGGGTATTTGCTGCACGCGCTCCTCTCCCGCCCCTGGGAAACCGCTTTTGCGCCGTCCCACCGACGAGACACGGGAGTTAATTGCAAGTTTCCCTGGTGTTCTTGCACTAGGCACCGCGACCAAGGATCTCTTTGTTTTTCGGAGATTGACAGACAGGCTACGGTCGTTCGCGAATATCTGAGTAGCTTGATCGAGTATTGGAGCTGCGGGGAATAATGCTTGAATTAGGGTAGGAGATACGAGTGTTTAGATTGTTGGAGATAGGCTAGAAGCGAATCGGATCATTTTCCGGTTGATAGTACAGAAATTAAGGTAAATGAAAGTTGATGATAAGAAATGGAAAAGAATCTTTGGATCTCCCTTTTGCAGGCAGGAAATAAGAAATGGGGAATATAATTTGAGATGTAGATTCATCCGTCTACGGTTTAGCCCATTAGAACTGCATCCTCTTTGAAACTCTTGTCATCTTGCATACTTTTACAACGCGTATGTGTATAACGTACGTGAAACTTGTAAAAAAAAACAATTCTACGATCATGCCATAAGCAGATACTCGAAAGTTCTCCGAAGTGCATAGATGCAGCGCCGCGCGTTCGAAGGGGAAGTGTTCGGTAGCCGCAGCGCGAGGAGACGTCCGAAGTGCCGGGGATCCATTACCTGAAAAAGGTGAATACTCCCCTTCACTGACAGCTGCACTCGCGTGTAAATATTTACGTTTCGTATATGCCCTCGGGGTCGTTCACACGAGCCCGGAAGCCTGCAGTCTCCGGCGTTGTGTTGCGTCCGCCGGCGCGAATTTCAGACAACGAGTCGTCTATTATTAAACATACGCCATCGGCCAGTGAAATCTTGACAATCGTTCGCGAAAACGAGAGGAAAGAAAGGGGAGAACGAGCATCGTAAATGAGCCCGGATATGCCAGGGACCGTCGTCCGTCTAACCAACGGCTCGATGATCCCTACCCGTCTAATGTCCGCCAGACACCGCGGGTCGTAAAGCTCTCCCGACTGAAAAACGCAGTCGAGTCGACCGGTCGCAGACGGCGCAGAGACTCGGTAAATTTCACCGGTGTGCGTGGACGTGCGGCGTACTCGGGGACCGGCGTGACAGTACCGGTCTTTTATTGGTCGAGTCGCTAATGCGCCTTTACTACGCTCACCCCGTCATTTACTTACCGCGCCGCGTTGTAAACCGGCACCTGTGCCAGAACATGTTACCGAGGCTAAACCGGGCGCTTATTGCCAGTCCGCGTATCATTTCTGTCCACCGCAAATTCGACAAGAAAGTTCGAACGGTACGACTGGCTTCACCATCGATGATGGTAGCCTCGTATTCGATAAGCCCGAGTTGATAAGGGACAGCGTTCTGGGCGAAGTTAAGCAGAGGCGGCGCAAACTTATCGCCTTTCAGGGATGATTCACCCTCGCTACCTTCTGTATTAGCCGACAGCTGCTCGGCAGACGGCGGCGAATGGTAACCTTTGTACAAAGTTCATCGGTGTACCCGGTGAACGTCCTTCAACGAGTATCTTCTTGCTCTTTTCACGCAACGAAGATAAGGATTGAGGGTTACCGAGCCTAAGCGTCGGAGCCCTCTTATCTCCTATCGTTCGGAGTCTTTATAGTGTCTGTCGGATCTGGTACCGGAAAGCTATATTGATAATGCAGGCATGTTAACAGGAAGAAACCAAATTATGGAACATTCCTGTCGGCGTTCTTGGTTATCCAGACTAATAGAATCACCAGTACAGTGTTCGAATATCCAGGAGCAAACGCATCGAGATCTGTATCTTAACGACCCAATAAACTTGTCGAGCAATTATATTCCTCCCTTTCGTCGAGTCGACTTCTGGTGTACCGTCCACTCGACGTCTCCGCGATCCTTCAAACCTACTCGCGGGAACTGCGTGTTCGGCCGACCAGTTTTTTTCCTCTTGAAGCCACGACCACTTCGATCAACAGTCTCCCCCGGCGTGTCCGCGCTCGCGAGAAACAAATCGCGACGCTGTTGAGGCCGGCTCAAGTGCTGCGGCCACTTGTTTCGGCGCGGCGGACCGTTCCTCCGCGAGGCTCGCGCCTCTTGGCACCGCGGCGAGAGAGTCGCATGCATAAGTAAATGCCACGCCGAACGCGGGATCGGGTATTTATTTAGACACCGGGCCCCGGCGAGTCGATGGCGCCAGAATATTTGCGATATTGCGGGGACCGTCGAAGAGCGGGCGGGAACGACTCAGGTGAGATGTTTACGAGCTTCGTAGAACTCGCCCGGTCGGCTCCCTACCCTTCTCGCCCAGGTGGACGTGGAATCCGCGGAGGGAAAAGTCCGTGGACCACGCTGGCGCGCTGCGTGAAATATGCTCCGTTGCGCAGCGATGCTGCGACACCGCGAACCGGGGACAAACGCGAACCCCGCCTCGCCGGGGATTTTGGAAACGAGCCGGGAAAAAGGAACTTCTGTCCCCAATGTTCTACGGTTGATTACAGTTTAATGCGGTTGCATCGTGCCCGGGGAAGTAGGAAGTACAGTGGAATCTTGCGCGAGTAATGGCGCAAGCAAAGTTCGCCGCGGCGCGATTGTTTAGATGCGAATGCTCGCCGGAGTTAAGAAAGTTAAACGAAGGGACAGGATTTTTGATGTTCTTATTTCTGTGTACTCCACTTTATTGCGCGACAAGGAACAGAAAATACGTCGCACGGATACGCTTGTACGTTTACGAGACACCGGAGGAGCGTATTTTTGTTGTTTCGCGTTGCTCGCGTTGCCGCCGCTGGCCGCATAATGAAAGGGGATGTATAAAATACGACCGTTCGCCGTTAATTCGATTTAAAACCGGGATATTTAAGTTTTGTAATACCGCGTAAAGACTGAGCTCGGAGGATGTAATGTATTTAAGAGTGACACTTTGTCGTCGCGTAATTACGCGTTACCTCGTGCAAACCCGGCGAACGAGGTTGAACATTTTAATTTAATAACGATTATTATAGTGCTCGGCCCACGTAAAGACAGAGTGGTAAGGAAATAAGAACTTACGGGACTGTAACAGGTTACGGGGTGTACGCTTATTTACGCGTTGATCACCCAAGCTCGTTCGTTGATGAATAAAAATCCTGCCTCCTTTTACAGTGTTCCACGGTTATTCCGGTCTGGTTAAACCGGCGCGCTGTCTTGGCTACGAATCTACCCCGCGTCCGCTCGTTGTTCTTCATCCCCTGTGGGCATAATTAAAGCTCGTAGATCACGCGTAAACGCGACTCGATGGCGCCCACGTCCCATTAACATCGTGCCCGAGTCTTTGAAGAAATCAATTTAGGAGCAACACACGGAGCAGAGTATTAACAAGCCATTCTGCGTTTAACGTGCCTCTGAATCAAGTGAAAATTAGCCGATCCCTCTAAATCAACTGATATTCGAGTAAACGGCGAACATGAAATGTTTATTCGCGACCGGGTGAAAGAGAAATTCTATTCATCCGTTGTATTCGTTATCCGACGAACAATCCTGCCCCCACAAATGTATTCTTTTCTCATTTAAAAAAGCGAGATGCAGACGTTCCGATACCCGCCGCCGCCGCCGCCGCCGCCGCCGTTGCAAGAGAGTAAATTATTTATGGAAAAGAAAAATTTGGTACAACCGATCAGAGCGTTTCCGTACAAAATTTGCATTGCGGATTCAGCATCCCCGTTACCCGTGGCCCGTTCATCTCTACTTTGTGCCTGCATTATGCATGAACCGGAGGAGGAGTTTCTTGGCTACAGTGTGTTACGGTTTTCGAGAAGGGTCGCAGACTGCTCGACACACATTCTCCTATCCGGGCATTCTCTGAGCGTTATCTCGCGTGCCACCTTTTAGCGCGGGATCGATCAACATTCTTGCGTCTTTACGACCAATGATAAAAGGCGAGACGGAGGAAAGGATCTCGTGAGAAAGCGAAGCGCCGCCGTGTCGGTGGACTCGCTAATAAATTTCCTCGCGGTAACCTGAAATATATAAATCATGTTACAAGTCCCATCAACGATATCGCGTTCTCCCGTCGGAATCGATTAATATTCCCGGGACCGTGAGCAGCGGCCAAGAGAGAGGTTCCTCGCCGTGGAAATGTACACCATATCATTACACGAACTTTAATCGGTCGTGTCTTCTCTCGGTTAAACCGAGCAACCCTTTTTCCCATGGTGGTCGCCAGGTAAAGGAGCGGCTTAGCTGCTCGTGCTGTTGCTCACGTTAGACGAGCAATCCCCCGTCTCGTTTACCAATAGATAGATCAAATTACTTGGCGGACCACCGGGCAGATACGGCCCGTAGCCGTTTGCTGCTTCACGGTGAATTAGGTCACCTGTTCCTACGGTCTACTCCAGACAGGAAGTCGTTGAAGTTCCTCGATTACACGCGGCGCACTCCGGCGACGTGCATCTTTAACGAGCTCCCGCCACATCAAACAAAACGTTCGCGCCCTTAACAGCCTTCGCGTCGACGACTTTACCGCTCGCTCGCTCGTTCGGTCTTTTCTGTCTTCCTTCCTCTTCCCTCGTCCTGTCCGGCTATTTACTCCCGCGTGAAATTAAACCGTGATCCTGATTAAAACAGAGCGCAGCAGCCGGTCGTTATACGAAATCGTAACGGAGCCTTGTTTCCTACGCGTCGAGCAAACGATTAGATCATCTTCACCCTTGCGGCGTTTTCATCCGCCGCGACAAAGCCGCGCCATATCCCGGATGCGATGATTATCGTTAAGAATCCGAGCGGTTCTTTCTCTTTCTCTCGTTCTCTCTCCTCGTCCCCCTGCCGGTGATTCGTTCTCTTTCTGCGGAGACAGGACGACCACGTGCGCCCTGTCAGGGCCCACGCGACACCCATTTAGACCAATCGGCCCTTCAAATACGCTTTAAACGGCGCGGCCGATTCTTCAATCTCGCTGTGGAATGCGTCTTCAGCAAGTGGTCACGCTTGCCGGAATTATAATATTATCTAGTTGGATTGCAACCGGACAAGAAGAATCACGAGCTCGTTATGCAACAATGTACGCCCTTATAACTCTTCGTCGCTGGTAATACTGTCTACTTGTCGCTGGTAATTGTTCATCATTGTTTAGCAACGAGGCCACCGGTCCTCGGCGAAGAAAAATGGAATGAAATAATTGGACGCGCAAGGTGTTCCGTAAAATGCGGACAATATTTTGTGTTGCCAATTTCGTTTATGGAAGCTCCAGTTCTTGGTGGGAAGAAACTGAAATAAATGATACTACTTGAAAAGTTTCATGGTTCCTTATTTTAGGCAACACCCTGTATTTGTTATAGTCGCCAGGAAATTAATGGCTTTCTGTGAATTGCAGTGTAAACATTCATTTTGTATTGTATATCTACATAAGGGACGAGATCCCCACTGGGTTATTTGTATATAAATTAAAACCGATACAATCGCTACGACGACGAGAAGACGCCTTCACAAAGCTGTTCACTCACTTATCCACGTACAGTTATTCGTTACAGTATAAAATTACTTTCCTGTTTACACGCTCTCAAATATTACAGTACGGCACACGTACACCGCGTATACATATATATATCACACAATATGGGTACTTATATAATATAATACAAACGCTTGAGGTTCCCGCTCAGTTGAATGAGAACGTCGGAAACGCAGCTGGTTTTTCTATACCTTCTAAAAACCGAGAAAGACATTCGATGACGAAAACACTCCTTAAAAATTTACTAATCTCACAGGTGCACACTGATTATGTTGCTATGATACACGATAAAGAAATTTAGATAAAAGACGACGAACATGTACAGTTGGAGTAAAATCGATTGCATAGGAATATTAAGTAAAAACAGCTTGTTACATTGAACTCCGTACAGACTATTCTAGTTACTCGCGAAATGGGGAAAGGATATGAATAACTTCCACCAGCACCGGCGAGTGATCGTCCGAGTATTCTCACCTATAACAAAGAATTGCGAGGGTTTTGCGATCTAGACATTTCTACTTGTAAAAAAATACATTGTCAGAAACACGATTATTATTCTCCAATCCATCGCAACATAAATAGCGGTGTGGTCAGTTGAAAATAAATACCTACACGCAACAATAAACAAAAGTGTACATAGAATGCGACCAACACGGAACTGAAAATCAAATTGAAGATATTAAATATGTGATGTCGATATCATGACAAACGAATTCGTTATTTATTAAAAATTAGGATTATGTACCCGTCGATATTAAGAAATTATGTGGAATTCAATTTGGACGGGGAATATTTTGGCACATAGTGGTCCATAGCTTAATGGCACTTTCAAGCCACTCTTAGAAGTGGATAAATTAATCGTGTTAACGTTCTATTTTCCTACAGTTGTTCTACTATGTCATGATCGTTTTTATAAGACGTTTGCATAAAACTAGCTCTCTGCGAGTGTTTCGTTCTCTGCAGTTCTTTAGCGAAGTACATTATCGTCTTTTTAAGTCCTTCGGCTAAAGGAACCTTTGGCTCCCAGTTCAAATACTTCTTAGCCCTTGTTATGTCAGGTCTTCTTCTTTGGGGATCATCCTCGACCGCCGCAAGCTCGACTACTTTACTATTTGTACCAACTAAATCTTTTATTATAAATGCGAATTCTGAAATGATTTTTTATTCAGCTTTTCAGTAAAGTATTATTAAGAATATTCTACGTTAAAAGTATTTTACACTGCAATATGGATTTACCTTCTATTGTATGCTCTACAGGATTTCCAATATTCACAGGCTGTGTGTAATTAGATGCCATCAAGGCTACTAGTCCATCGACTAGATCAGACACGTATTGAAAAGATCGCGTCTGCCTTCCACTACCGTATATAGTAATTGAATCATTTTGCAGTGCTTGTAGTATGAAGTTAGAGACTACGCGGCCGTCATTCATATGCATTCTAGGCCCGAATGTGTTGAAAATTCTAGCGACGCGTACTGAAACACCTTCTTGCCTCATATAAGCATAACTTAGAGTTTCAGCTACACGTTTTCCCTCATCATAACAAGCTCTTGGGCCTAGAAGATTCACATCAAATATTTGCATCATTTTCATCACAGTAAATCACGGAAATGTAATTTCTTTATGTACCTATAGGATTCACATGGCCCCAATAGGTTTCTGATTGTGGATGCTCATTAGGATCTCCATACACTTCAGATGTACTAGCTATTAAAACTCTTGCTCCTACTCGTTTTGCAAGACCTGATATAGTTAAAGAACATTTAAATTGCATCATAATTATCTTGATCTGTGTCTCAACCAATAATATACATTGCACAATATTACATACCTAATATATTTATTGTGCCTAAAGTATTTGTTTTAATTGTTTTTACTGGATTAAGCATATAATGTGGAGGACTAGCTGGGCTGGCAAGATGATATATTTCATCTACTTCTAAATAGAGAGGTCTGACTATGTCATGGTGAACTAGTTCAAAGTTCTCATGGCCAACCCAATGTTCCACATTGCGTTTTCTTCCAGTGAAAAAGTTATCTACAACTATCACTTCATGGCCAGCCAACATTAATCGATCAACCAAATGTGATCCAACAAAACCTGCTCCACCTGTGACCAGAATTCTTTTCCGGTTTTTATAGTTAAGGAACTTGACTGTTGGGAAATCCTTGGACACAGTGTTCTCAATTTTAGCCTCTAGATGCTGTAATTTACCCTCTAACTCTCGAATCCTTAATTTTGCTTCTTCAATATCTTTAATATCAGCATAAGGTGCATCTTCCTCAATGTCTTGTACTTTTTGATTTTCAGATTCAATATCATTTACATCGCCTATATGGGATTTACGATCCCTTGGATGAATTCTAGGGAAAGATTGTTCTTCTTGTGGATTAACTACTGTTTTGTAGAATCCTAACACTGAAATATTTGTAGAATGATATTTAGAACTTATGGAAACTCTAACATCACTCTTCAATATTTTCTACTTATATATAGCTTATCAATGACGGGAGAAAAAAATGGTATCACTCTTTTCACGAGGTTGAAACACTTACCTATTATTACACAAATCACGGAAAAGGCAACCTGTTTCATCTTTCGTGGAGTGACAACCATGCTTTAACGTTGCACATGTCTTGGGTAAAGGAACTCACGTTAATTCTTCTTTCTATATGCCGCAGATTGTCAACATAACACTCTGCGGTGAAAGCGACAGCTAACAGTTGACCGTATCAAGTGTGTCATTTTTTGGAGTGCACAATTAAAAAACATAACCTACATTCCCTTTCTCGACATGATATTCGCATTTCCTATGTTCCGTTTCGTTTATCGACGTAAAACTGGTGCTGCTATCTGAGCAGTGCAATGCAAAACATTTCGCAGATTTTGTTTCTTATGTCAGTTGATCCTAACCTATCGTGAGCTGATAACTTAACCTCAAAATTTGAAGTGTATACACGCACGCAGGCGCAGATCCTGTTTTTTGATTGATATATAAGGCTGTGGCAGTACAAAGGAAACATCTCAAAGTTTTTCTGGAGTCACGGTGGCAGTGGCATTTGAAACATGGCCGACGTCATTGATTGTAAATTTCCTATTTGGGGGCTTCTGCCTAAAAATGAAACGGGTGTCACTCAATTTCTTAACAAATACCCCGAATATGACGGTCGAGGAGTCATCATTGCGATTTTTGATTCAGGAGTTGATCCTGGAGCTCCTGGTATGCAGGTACGTTGACTTTTATCAGACACGCCTCACGATTGTTCAAATCATGGATTTTTTTCCCTTTTAAATTTGAAAAAAATTTATCTCTCTTTCCGGACTGTATACATTTCCAAACGCATTCACGTA